AATAATTGGTTCTCTTTGATGGTTTGCATAATACAAGCATGGCATGGTATAGTAGAAAGATTCCTGGGCTCCGAAGCCAGTTCCCTGGGTCTGAGTCCTGTTTCTGTCATTTATAGGTTGACTGTACTTTAGTCAGTCATTTGACTGCTCTGAGGCTCTTTAAATTGGGACAGTGATAATGGCTCATGTAAGAAGTTGTTTTTTAAGTTCTGAAATGCTTCTAAAATAGAAAGTAGTGGTGGTATTTTAAAGCATTTTTGAATATTATATTTTATTTACCTTTCAAAAATCTTTCCTAAGTTGGCCATGAAGAAAAAGAAATAAACCATTTTTCAGTGGACCTGATTATTAAAAAGATATTATCTAGCTGTTCCTGAATTTGAGAGAGAAGACTAAGCAAGATGAAGTAGATTTACAGTAGAGCACAAAGGGTTTAGATTAGGTATAAATACGATCTAATAGCAGTTTGATTTGTTTGAAGATATAGTGTTTTTCTCAGGCATATTGCAAAATTTTCTTTAGGTGCCTTCAAAAACTAAAAAGAGATTTTCATCTGTTTATGTTGGATTAGGCAGCGTCCTGCTGAAGATGTGAAGATGGTTAATTTAATATTCTTTCTAATGTTCACTTCTACCCCCAAATTTGCGTATCCACTTTGCAAGTCAGTCTGGAAATATTTATGGAATCTGAACTCCTCATAAAAATAAGAATTTTAGTTTTAAAATGTCCTATTGTGTGCAGTCTATAGAATTTCAATATAATTAAATTAATCAGGTAAGAAGCTAGCACAGAAGTCATTGCTTAAAAACCTTTATAAGGAAAACCCTTACTTCCTATAGGTGTAAATCTCTAAGTAATATATAGAAAAGTTTCTTATTTTATTCCTGAAAGTCAAAATTATTTACTTCAACTTGTCATATTTGGGAAGTTTGCTTGAGTTGGAGTTTTCAGAGTGTTCCAAAGTGTATCATTGTGAATTCTGCATAATGTATTGTTGACCTTTTCCTATTAGAAAATGAAGCTACTGGCACTGGTTATCCATATGTCTGTGCAAGTAGAGGGAAAAGACTATAATGTACTTCTAGAACGGGCTTCCTTCTATATCCTATGAGAAAATTCTGGGCTTTGATTTGTTATTACTACTACTACTGCTGCTGCTATGTTCATTGAGCACTTACGATGTGCCAGGCATTGTTCTAGGTGCTTCAGATATATTAGCACATTTGGTTCTCATAATAACCTACTGAATATGTGCTGTTACCATCCCCAGTGAACAGAGGAGAAATATGTACAGAGAGGTTCAGTAACTCTCCTAGTGACATAGAGCTAGCAAGGCAGAACCAGAACCCTTGGTAGTTTGGTACCAGAATCCATGATTCTCCTAGTCTTTAGTACTGCCTACCACTAAACTATTGGACTGGCCCTGTTGTGATAGCCTCTGTGTATTGCTAATTCCCTCATGAGAAAATAGAGAATTAGTACAGTTGGAGAGGATAAAGAATTACCAAAAAAATACACTATTATGATTATAGTGTGGATTTCAATTCACTTTTCTCGATTCATAAAATTTGACGTCAGGAATTGATTTCATGTGAAACTTCAATAGTGTGAAATGTCTGTTGGATCAACTTTTATGAGCATATTAGAGAAAGGCAGTGTACACAGGTTTACAGATGTAAGCCACCACACAGCAGTAGCAAAGTGACTTGGTGAAGATGCAGGTGCAGCACAGCAGAGCTGCCAGTGAGTATGATTTCCATCTTCTTGATCTTCTTTAGTGCCGATTCAGGGAACCATAATTAGTTCATGAATGTTAACTTGGTAAGCTTAAAATGACCATGTATGATGTGGGGTTTAGTATGGTGTGTTTAGGAAACTGTTTTGGACAGGAAGTAGACATTAGAAACTGTCACATGTATCTAGACAATTAGAATTGTTTATATCAACAGAACAATTTTCAAGCAAACACTACCTGACTCTGCATTAATGTTAGAGATCATGAAAACTCTGTATTTCTTCTAAAATGTTTTAATAGAAAACAGCGCCAGAGAGTACAAGCCCCAAGTGACTTTAGTATATGTGAGCAAATCAGGATTGTATGAAAAAAATAGTCAATGTAATTAAGTGAATTTGTCTAATATATTACCCTCGAACACATTGAATTTTGAGACAATATCATTCATAGCAATAATAATAGTAGTAACAACCACTACAATGACCATACAACTACCCACGTTTATTGTGAATCAGGAAAGTGCTGTGTGTTCCTTATCTTATTTAACCATTACAACAGCCCTGTGAGGTCGTCGCTATTATTATCTCCATCTCTCAGACGAGGAAACAGAGGAAAAGGGGATTAGTTACACGCACAAGGTTACACAACTAGCAAGCATCATTCATTCATTTATTCAATATTTATTGAGTAGACCTACCATGAGCCTAGCACTGTTCTAGGTAGTGGGGGTTAGCAATGAGTTAAACAAAATCCCTGCTTTCAAAGGACCTTACCTTTTATGAGGGGGATAGACGACAGATAAACATGGAAACATGGAAGTCAGATGGTAATAAGGATTATGTAAACAGTAAAGCCCAGTAAGGGGGAAAGGGAGTGCCGGGATAGGGTTCTGGGATGGGCTATCGTCACTCTTTTATGCAGAGTAGTAAGGGGACCTCTTGATAAGGTGACATTGCAGCAGACATCTGAAGAGAGGGGTATTTGTAGGAACAGCGTTCCTGGCAGAGGAGGAGAAGAGCTTCCTGTGCTTGGAGTACCTGAGGAAGATCAGAGGCTGTGGAGCTGCTGTGGGTGAAGAGTGAATGGTCAGAGTTTGAACCCAGATTTATTTGACCCCAGAGCCCACATTTTAACTACCACACTAATCTGATGGGGCAACCACAGCATTACCTAACCTACTGTGATCTTGGTGACACTGTATTATTCTCACGGAAAAGAGGAGGGCAGTAAGGTGTGTAGAGCTGAGAGTATGTGAGAAACCCCTGTGGTTTGGGGAGAGGTGCTTTGGAGAATATAAGTAGGGAACTATTGTGGACCATACATTTGGGAAACTGGGAGTGTGACTTCCCTGCTCAGAATTCTTCATTGGTTCTCCATTGCTTTCAGAGCTTTAGAGAAATTAAGTAACTTTCCCAAAGCCCCAGTGCAAATAGACTTAGTTTTGAATGATAATAAAGGCTCTGTTCATAACTGCTAAGCTGTGCTGCTCTTCTCGGAATGTGAAATCAATCACGTGCTCCTTGGGGTCCGTCACCTACAGACTGAAGTCAACAAGCCTTGGCAAGGAATGCAGGGCCCTGTAGAGTCACTCGCCTTCTTTTGCCCTTATGGCTACTGCCCCTCCCGTTGCACCTCAGCATGGAGCACAAGAGAACTCCTTAGTATCATGTACCTGGCACTTTGCACATTCTGAAACGTCCTTCTTCTTGTTTTGCGATGAAGATTTTATATCTTCCTTGAAGATTTTCTATACCATTCTCCTTTCCAGATTGAGTTATAACTTCTTCCCTTGGCTGCTTGTGGAGCTTACATATCTGTGTACTTGCTTGTCATTTCCAGTAGAAATCATTCTGAGTCCCTGTCCCCCCAGCCAGGATTAGAGCCCCTGCTCTGTGCCACCAGAGAAATTGATGCAAACTTTGATCTGCCTCTTATCACACTTTTTTGGATACTTTCTTTGCTTACTTGTCTGCCTCTTCTTCTGGACCGTAAGTCGTTGAAAGCTTGTGCCTTGTTTTGATCTATATCCCAACCCCCAGGGGTAGGGCTTGGCATGTAGTTTACCTGCTCACTTAAATTAAACTTAGAGTATTAGATGCTGAGTTATAATGATGACAGTTTGATGAGATCGAAACCAGTAGAATATGTTGAGCAGTGGTGTTAGTTCACTTAGAAAAAAATAGATGATAATCAAAACACTACTATTTAATAAAAGATTATTATATGCCAGATATTAGACTCAGTTCTGAAATACATCATTCCATTATTCCAAATCAAATTCAAACTTGAAAGATATACCTTATTAGGTATAACTTTTAAAGCTAACTTAGTATCTTATTAGATACAACTTTTAAAACTAAACTTTAAAAAATACATTCATTTTCAAACTATTGCTAACTGGATAGGAGGAGGTGTTAGGGGGCTGTAAGTAGAGGGAAAATGTCCTTATAAAGGGACAGAAGTCATCATTGTCCCTTTATACTCAGTTTTTAAAATGTTACCACAAATGTGTATACTTGGCTACATGCAGAGATCTTCCGGAAAGAACACTGTACTCATTTATAATTTGGACATGGCATGTTGGGTGAGACAGAGGTCTGTTGGAGAAGTGAGCCCAGATGAGACCCTGCATAATGCAGTGCTTCATGCTGTTATCAATAGTTAATTGTAAAGCCTTCAGTAAGTGCCATCCTTACAACCTAAGGCCCAAAGTGGGCTACTTAAGGCCACGGTTACTTAGCCTAATTCTTGATTTTCATTCATTAGGAAAGCTACTCATTAGGATTTCTATTGAGTAATTTTTGAACAGGATTCTCATTGCTGATTGCTTTGTGTTTCCCGCACAAGTATATTATCTAAAATTGATATGCTTATAATCACTGATAAATCACCTTTAGACATGTATTTAATTTTGGCTTATATACCATTTATATTTTACTCTAGCAATGTTGAATTATACTCTGAAATACTTTTAAATGCAAAAATCTCAAAAAAAATTATCATACAGTTTCCCTACACTTCTCATAGCTTTTCTTCTCTTTTTTTGCCGGAGTTGGGGGGACTTAATTTCATTGTCTCCTTAATTTCTCAATATTTTGTGCTGATTAAAATGGATTAGATATTCTTTACTTAAATACTTAGAGTCTGTCAGTAGGAGACTACATTAGTGCTCAAAAGAAGATATTTAAGAAATTATTTTGCTTTCCACTCTTTCCATTAGCCAGTAGAAATTTATTCTAAAGCTCTTTTGGTGGTTTTATTGCAGTGACATGGCAGGCAAAGCCCTGTGGGAAGCGTTACTGAACACCAAGCACAAGGAAGCAGTGATGGAAGTCCGGAGACATCTAGTGGAAGCAGCAAGCAGAGAAAACCTGCCAATCAAGATGAGTATGGGTAAGTTTATTCACTTCGCCTGGGACCGAGAGTGACCGTAGGCCCTGAGGAAGTTTATTTGAGCCTGCTCTGAACTGTGGGCCAACCTAGCCATCATGGCATCTAGATAGAAGTATTGAAGACTTTTGTAAATTGTGGAAAGAATATGGAAGGAATATGTACACACTGCCCTCAGGGCTCAACAATGACCCTTTTTCTTAGACTCAACTTTGGGAACTCTAGGAGAGTCCTTGCTTACAAAGAGTAATTCTTTCAGTTTCTTTATTTTATCCAGAACTATGAAAATTATCTGGACCACCTCCCCTTCATTCTGTTCTACCTTTGCCCTTTCTTCCTTTACTGTGGATGAAAGATGTCTTATTGGTTTTGAATTAATGGATGAACTACTGTACTGACAAAACAGTTTAACAGTTGGACATGTTCTGGCCTGGCCCCTTAGCCTTAGAGTGGTCTGCTAGTTGTCCAGTCACATAAGTGTTATCCCTTCTTCACCAGGATATCACGTATTTCATTTTTCTCATTTCTTGTTTTTTTTCACATTTAGCTTTGTCTTCAGTATTAGAAGAATCTGGCTGCAATGGAATTTAAGTTTTAAATGGCTTTTTTTATTTTGATTAAAAAGTCAGAGATTTAATGTTTTGATTTTAGAAAAGGAATCTGGTGTTTTACTTTTTTGTTTTTTTTAATTAAGTAATTTTATTAATATAGAAATATTTATTTTGTTTTTAATTATTTTATTGAGGTCATATTGGCTAATAACATTGTGTAAATTTCAGGTGTACATTATTATATATTGGTTTCTGTATAGACTGCATCGTGTTCACCACCAATAGTCTAGTTTTTATCTATCACCATACATATATGCCCCTTTACCCCTGCTGCCCTCCCGCCACCTCCCTTCCCTCTGGTAACCACCAATCTGTTCTCCTTATCCATGTGTTTATCTTCCACGTGAGTGAGATCATACACTGTTTGTCTTTATCTGTCTGGCTTATTTTGCTTAGCATAATACCCTCAAGGTCCATCCATGTTGTCACAAACAGGGCAATTTTGTCTTTTTTAATGGCTGAGTAGCATTCCATTGCATATATATACCACATCTTCTTTATCTGTTCATCCATTGATGGGCACTTTGGTTGGTTCCACATCTTGGCTATTGTGAATAATGCTGCAATGAACATAGGTGTGCATAAATCTCTTTGAATTGTTGATTTTGTATTCTTTGGATAAATACCCAGTAGTGGGATAGATGGATCATATAGTATTTCTATTTTTAATACAGAAATATTTAAATATTGATATTGAATCTGGTTAATAGGTAGAATTTATTTCTGGAAACTTGCAAAAGTTTATTTCTCTATTTTAAAAATAAGTTTTTTCCCTTATATCTGCTCTTAAGTATCCAAGAAATATTAATACATTATACTGGATGGGAAAATTTTTCCTTGCTGAGATTCCTAGCCCAAGTTCTTGATTACTTATGAGTATGAAAATCAAACTATCAAGTTGAAATAGAAGAACAGAATTTTGGAAGTAAAAGCATGTAGATGAACCTAGAAGAGAAAAACTTACAGGGTCATAATATGAAAAAAAATCATGACTTTCAGTGTATTAGGTGATTATATATGAGGGTTTTAAGGAACAAAATGATGACAAGAAAAGTGAACGTAGCTTACATTTATTAAGTACTTATAATGTGCCAGATTTTCTTCTAACTCTTTACATGTGTTATCTTATTTAATCCTCACAGTAATTCTGAGCGATAGGTACCATTAGTTCTCAGTTTTCAGATAAGGAAACTGGAATGGAGAAAAATTAAGTTGCTCAAGGTCATACATCTGATAAGCGGTAGGACTGGAATTCAAATCCAGATATTCTGATGTGAGAGCATATGCTCTGTATTTATAAAATCATCCTAATTCTAACAACCAATGCCAGGAGTCCTGTGTATTGTTTTGGAGTAGAAATAAAGTTGCTACTATGAGACCATACCGGCATTTGACTGTTAATTCTAGTTTCTAATTTCCTTTCTTTCTCCCTCCCTCCCTCCCTACCTTCCATCTTTCTTTCCTTCCTCCCTCCCTTCCTTTTCTCTCTCTTTTTCTTTCTTTATTCTTTCCACAGTTCTAGATACACATTAAGAACAAATATATTTACTTTACAGAGTTCCTCATCCATAAGTATGTTGTAACAAGAACTAATTCGTATTGTGAGTCAAGAAAAGTAGGAAGGCACCAAGGGTCTTGGTGATAAGGTTAATTTATATTGCGTTTCAGTGATATAACTTTATGATGCTATCACAGAGCATAAATCAGTTTTTATTGCTCAATGCAGAACTCTTGAAAGATCAACATACTTTACTTTTCTAAGGAGCTATATCTTTTAAAAATAATCAGAGCCAGAAATAAATTTTAAAAAAAGACGGGTAACTTCATAAAGCATTCAAATTTAAATGTTTGAGTTTTCCGTCACCCAAAAAAAAACTTAGATAAAATGGTTTGCTTTATCTCAAAACTCTAGATGTAGGGGAGAGTGAGGAGAGAAAAAAGAAGGAAAGAAACAGACAATTGTTAGCAGACTTTTGTTGTAAGAAGGACGAAAATGGTTGGCCCAAGTCACACTCTATCCATGTGCCAACTACAATTGAGTAAAAGATAACGGTGCAGCTACCCACTTCTGCTTCATATCACTAGTCAGAATTTCTCATGTGTCTCATTTCCATTTACCAACAGATACATAACCATGAAAGTAAAGAAAAGATCTGGAACTTAAACATAGTAAAACATTGGTATTTGAAAACTCCTTATCATATAGCTTATCATAAAAAAAAAAAAAATCATGCTCTGGAATCCTAGATGGCTGGAATGCTTTTTCTAGCAGCATTTAAAACTATGAAATATACTTTAAACTATGCACTGTTTTCCCAACCCCTGCTGTAAATTCTATTAAGTATAAATTTTTCTGACTGTGATAGAGGCTTCTAGTACTTTTGAGACATTAAACTGAAATGTTAATTCTGGATTTAGGACTCTCTTATATTTAAATTCACTGAGAGGGATCCCATCATTGAAACCTCAGATCTTAAACTCAGCACAAGGTAAGTTCCTATTAAAACATTAGAGCTTCACGAGAAATATATATCATTCTCTTAAAGGAAAAAAGTTTAATTGCTAAAACAAAGAAAAAATTCATTTTATCATTTCACATCAACATATGCCATCTTTCCTAGAGCTTGTTATTAAATTGTCAGTTAATGAAATAGATGTGTTCCAGAAAAGTGATTTTTAAAACATTGTAAACTGGATTGTATTTTTCCCACTGGCTTTCATAATGAAAAATGTATTCTGAAAGTAAAAAGTAAATAGACTCCAAGAAACTTACTTTTTGGATCCCAAATGTCCACTTACAGAGGAAATGAATAGAAAATGCCCATCTCAGTTTCTACATTTTACGGAGAACTGTTTCTCTGGAGTGCCAGTGTGGTGGCGGATCTTCCCGGCTCATCCTAGAGCTCTCTGCAGAAGGGACATGTCCCCAGTATTTAATGGGTGGCAGAGAGATTCCATTACAGTTGAAGTGAAACAGATGTCTTTATGACACTGTCCTTCCTTTTGCAGCCAGATTTCTTGAAAGAGTATTTGGTGCTTGATGCCTCTGTGTCTTTATTATTTTCTTTCTTATTAATTGATACAGTCTGGCTTCTGACAATTTTTACTGAAAAGTCCCCTAGACCACTAAACATAAGGGCCTTCTCCTCAGTCCTCATTCTTCTTGACTTCTTTGCAGCATTTACTTCTAGACTATCGCTGCTTTCTCGTACATCTCTCTGTGTTTCCTGTGACTTTGGGGTCTCCCGTGATGGAATGCAAACTCAATTATATCTGGAGGTGAATCACAGTTCTGTCACTGATTAGCCAGACTTCAATTTCTTCATCCATACAAGATGGGAAAAATGTCTATTTCCTGGAATTTTGAAGGAGAAAGAAAGCTCTGAGTAGAGTGAAGATTATGACTATTAAGCAAACTGGAGTTGGTGTGCTGCGGTTGTATTCTGTCTGTGGGAAAGTCTTTGTGGGAAACCAAATTCTGAGAAGGTTGTTTAATGAGAGTGAAATCAAAGCAAACAAATCAAGTTAGCTGATGTTCCCCTTTCTTTCTGAGAAATGGACTGATCCATTCTCTCCATTCCTCTTGTCCTTTTCTAACCCTTTTGATAACACATCTTTCTTTACGTAGAATTCAGAATAGTTTTTCATTTTCAGCCTAGTTATGATTACATTCTATTACCTCTCCCCTGACTCGGTTCACCCCTCAAATCACCTTGACTGTATTTGCTATTACCAAATCTCTGTGGTCATACTTTTGTAGAAAAATCTCTTGTGCTACATTTCCAGATGATCTGATCCATTACATTGAGAAACTTCTTAACTTACTCTCCTAGTTCTGGGGCACCGTAGTCTCAGCCCCATATCCTCACCACCATTTTCTCTTCTCCAAAGTAAATGTGATGAGTTCTTACAACATTTTATGAAAAGACAAGCCATTCCTACATTTTGTCATCACAGTTGCCTCTAGTTCTGAGCCACTGGCAAAGCTCCAGTTTGTTAATATCCCTCCTAAAATGTCCAGAGCCGAACAAAGGTCTCTTGTTCTTCACCTCTTTTTGGACACTATACTTCTCTTAATGAAGCCCCAGACAAGATGAGTGACTTCTGCTTCCCACCAATGCCACTAATATCATTTCCTGCTTTTGCTACTTAGCAATACTGGCTTTGAAAAACAGGAATTAATCAAAACACTCTAAAAAATCATTTGATATATACTTTTTTCAACATCATTGAGGGTACCTGAGTTCATTCAGTTCTGGCTGGATGACAGCTATGTTTTTATCACATTTATATCTTTTGCCTTCATTATGGAGAATTTTGTCTGGGATTAAGGGGAATGTGTGTGTGTATCTGTGTGAGAGAGAGAGAGAGAAAGACAGAGAAAGAGAGAGG